GAGAGGAAAGAAGGAAGGAAGGAAAGAAGGAAGGAAGGAAGGAAGGAAGGAAGGAAGGAAGGAAGGAAGGAAGGAAGGAAGGAAGGAAAATTCAGAATATGACAGAATTCAGATTTGCTATTTATGACATTTTACCATATCACCCTTGCACTATTCTATGTAAACTCCATAAAACATCAGCACACTGGGCATTCTGGAGACATGGAACACAAGTGATTGATCACCAGTCTCTCTGCTTAACACCCACTGTGTTTCTCAAAATACAAAGAGTTTGGCTGAAGATCTTGAACTTTGGCCTATGTGTACTCCTGTGTGTTCAAAGCCAGCAGATACCATTCTTGTCCTGACCCCTGATGTGGTATGAAGATCACCTCCAAAAGTCATGTCATCCAGATGTTGGGAGTGTTGGGAGGCAGGGCCTTTAAGAGGTCAAGAAGACTCCAACTTCAGGAAGGGACTAAGGCTGTTACCACAGGGTGGATTAGTTCTCTCTGGAGTGGGCTGGTAGAAGGTGAGTCTGGCTTCTGGTGCTCTTGCTGCCGCCCCCCCCGCCTGCTCTCTCTCGACCTCTTTTACCATGTTCTGTTTTGACATGGCAGAGGGGTGCTGAAATCCCCAGCCTCCAGACCCGTGATGGCCAACAAATTTCGTTTATTATAAATTGCTTAGTCTGTAGGATTCTGTTTTAGCTGCACAAAATATTCAGAGTGAGCCTTCCAAGTCCTTTTCTGTACCAACACACACATCAGGGCATGGGTCCACACTCAGGGTTGCTGTGTTGGGGCACAAATGCTGTGCCAAATTCAGTCTTTCAGGGGCCAAAAGGAGGCTTGTGAGCCATCGAGAGTTCAAGTCGGCGATGCCAAAGACACTGAGTGAACAGGGCCACAAGCTACAATCCCCACTCACTCAGAAACTCAGAGATTCCATGACTCAGTGAGGAGTCAGGGACTAAGCTCCAGCTCTTTGCCTGCTGCTGTCTTGTTGGGAGGTTGCGACTCAAACTCAATGCACATCTGTTTCCAATGCAGTCTTGATTATTCTTTGTGAAAGAAGCCAAAGATTTGGCTTCTATTTTGGAAAAATGTTAAAGAAAGCCTCAGACAGTAATAATCCTCATTCTGTGTGGACACATGGTACTCAGAGACCCTGTGTGATGGCAGCTGTCTCCTGACGCAGTCACTGTGAACAGGAACCTGGCACGGGCCTGTCAGCAGCTCCAGGTGCAGAGCCCTCTCTCCAGCCCCGGGGCATCATCTGACTGCAGTGGAGAATGTAGGGGGCAGAGATCCCACATCCCAAGAACAAGTTCAGCACTCTAAAATGGAGAGTGGGAGCTGAGTGTGACCCGTGTACCTTCTAGGAAACTGAGGAAACACGCATTCATTAGACACATCAAACCCACAGGGCCACACAGAGCCCAAACCAATGCAAAGACAAGTACTTAAGCACACCCACAAGTTAATTTTAGAATGCCAAGAGACAGCACCAGCACACCCATCAAATCTGCCTTTAGAGTTGGAGCCAAGGACTGCGAACTCTCTATAATGGTTCTTCCCTGCCCCCAATAGGCACAAAGCCAACAGGCCCAGCAGCCCTCACTCTCCCCAGCTTCCTCCCAGACTCTCTCCCTGTGGCCAAGGACAATGGAGGGTGACAAGGTGAAGATCCAGGACACCCATCACATCCGTTCTCCTTGGCATCTTAAAATCCAGATGACAGCTTTGGCTGAGCACATGTTCATCGATAGACGTACTGAGTGCCAAATGAAGTAATTTGGGATTAATGTCATGACTGTTTCCAAGATCCATGGCGGGTGGATGGCTCCATTCCCCACTGACTCAGGAATTCCAAACACCCTCTAGTGCCTTGCTGGCTTCCTCCACCTGGATGGGGTCCTTGTGTACTTTTCTAGGTCCTCAAGGACAATGAGGGGTGCATTTTCACAGTTGCCTCAGAACATTGGGACCAGTTGAAGGAGTTTAAGTCACAGGCAACAACAGTGGAGAAAATGCTTAGTAACCACAGGCCTGGATGTGTAGACATGGGCAGGGGAGGGGCCGTCCCCAGAGTGGGATTCCATGGTTTCCACACTGATGACATTGTGGGGTGGGACAACTGTGTTGTGGGAGACTCTCCTACGCACTTGGATACCTAGGGTACCCATGTACCCCCTCTAAGCTATAACAACCCAAAGTGTCTCCAGCATGCAGAGGGTATAGGCTGTCCCTAGGGTCAACATGAAGCAGGCCACCAGGCCAGAGCTCTGTCCACATGGCTCTCCACTCTACCATTTCCACTCCTTGAAGCCAATGAAGAGCAGCTTTGAGGGATTCTATTCCACGTGTGACAGGTACGCAGGGTGGTTAGAGCTTCTTCTAGGCTGAGCAGGTGCGTCTGTCCCCATTTACTTACAAAACAAAGGCTCCCTGGCACAGTTCCTCCTACAGACCTGTCACCTGAAAGGCCCCTTGGGAGCATCTGTTCTGCCTGAAGCACTGCTGACCATACAAGAGTCCTTCCACCTGCTCAAACTTGACCCTTCCACATTTGAGAGTCCACAGCATGTCACATTGTGCACGCTGACTACGTCCCTGGCCTCCTCTCCAGCCCCAGGCCTACGAGCAGCTTGGGTGTGCCATGCCTTTCTGTGCTTCTCAAGTTTGCTTCTGTCTCTGTCTCTATCCCCTGACACTCCACACTGCTTCCAGAACCATTTTCCAGCAAACTACAGGGCCCCCTCACTCTGATGTTTAAAAGTGTCTGAGACTTTGAGAATCAAAGTCAGGCTCCACAGCACAGCATCTGAGGCCCACCTGGGTCTTCATTGCAGCCTCCAAGGCCTCCCATCACAGATGGCAATTAGCACTCACTGGCCCCTGAGGGCAAACAGTGTACCTGTCCCAGAGCGCCTCCCCCAAGGACATCCTCTCCAATCTGAGAGCTACCCTGCACACTATCTCCCACATGAAGTCACTCTGCAAAGCCAGAAGTGGGCCCCCATTTCTACACTCACCTGACTCCCAGTCCTCTAGGGAACCTCTTTCCCTGCCTCCCCTTTCCTCCCTCCTCCAACTCACATTAGGCAAAGGCTCTTATGTGTTTGAGGTACTCATGAATGTTTATCAAGTTTAAGTCACAGAAGTCAAAACTCATTTCCTGCTCTTTATTTTCAGTGCTTCCTCCTCCCTTGAAGTGTTTCTGAGAAACTGCCAGGGAGAAAGGCCTAAGATCATAAACCTCAGTGGGGGTGATGGACCAAAGCCACACTGCCAGGACTCTTTCCACTCCAGGCTCAGTAAGGGGCCAACAGACAATGGCGGGAAGTTTCATGTGGGAATGTAATGATCCTTCTTTGGACAGTTCAGAGGCTTACATGACCTTATTTATACCAGATTCTCAAGTGCTGGGTGCATAGACTTCAGTCCTTTTCCTCCTTTACCTGTGTGTAACAGAGCCCGGAGGACAACCATGGGAGTTGGCTCTCCTCTTCCATCATGTGGGTCCCAGGGACTGAACTCAGGTCATCAGGCTTTGTGACAGATGTCTTTGCCTGCTGACCCACCCGGAAGCCAATCTTCTCTTTTTCCTTAGAAAGCTGGCCCTCTGCACTTGTGCCATAAGGAATGGATCTTTCCAGGGAATGCTCACCAAATGGCCAGTCAGGCATTCTGGTCACCTAAGCTGTGCCAAGCTCTCTTTCTCTCACTTCCTTCCCCATCATTCCTGGGACCCTCCTCAGAGGCCCTCAGGTCCGTGATGAACCTCTCCTTCCACCGGGACCTACGGATCAAGGCCACAAAGGACTTCCTATCTTCCCATTCAGTAGAACTCTGACCATGAATTGTGGCCACATAAGACTAAATTCACTCTGTGATGCACAAATCAGGACACTGGATCATTGGATGGAAAACAGTAAATCATTAAACATGCCCCTTCCACCTCTTCAAGCACAAAGCAGATCCTTCCCAGCCTACACACATGGACTGTTTTACCAATAGGTAGAATAAAGAAATTAAGGAGCAAACCAGGCCAGAAATGTCGTCCTTCCACCATTTCCCTGGGATATTTTACTGTTGGCTTTGCATTGTAGTTTAGCTGTTGTGCGGGTTTTCTTTACCTCCAGACTCCGGAGGCTCAGATTTTCCATTTGCAAAGTGGATCAGAGCAGACTCCTGGGTGTCTCCAGGAACTCACAGTGACTGCAGCAGGGACAGGGGGCTCTCCAATGGTTTCCTCTGTCTCACTCTGGATAAACTCTAATCAGGTCAGCTAGTCTGCCCACAGAAATTAAGGCCTCCCGGGCTCCACCAACATGCTAATGGTAATGTGATTACGGAATAACAGACCTGACTTTCTAAGTGGTAATATAATTTTAGATCCCCAGGGAATACAGTGGGCTGAGAAGAACTGGATTATGGGAGCGTTGAGGATGTATGTGTTGTGCTTAGAGCTGAGTTTGGGGGCTGTGGAGTCAGGCTGATCTTTGAATGCACCAGAGTGTGTGGCAGCTGAAGATCCTTCAATAAGCTTTCCCAGGAACGTGGTGAGCGCTCAGCAGATCTCAGGGCTGGGCTCATGGGGAAAGAGGAAGAGGAAAAGCTGGACAGGAAATGGGAGTGAGGGCCTTCCTTGGATCTCTGTGGGGGAGAATAGAGAACACACTGAATTCTGGTAAAATTGAGCTCTCTGTTAAAACCAGAGGAAACACCTAGAGTTGAGGTCTTGGAGGTGGGAGCACAAGTGTTCTGCACCCCTAAGAGAACGCATTTTGGGGTGCCCACTGCTGCCATCTTGTTGCTCATCATTGCTGTCACTTAAAACACAATCAAGTAGAAAGTCAATTTTCAAGACACATTAGTTTTAGCAGGCTGACAAAGAAACACAAACTTTTTAGATGGGTTTACTTTGGCTTTTTTTTTTTCCATAATCACCCAAATGTTTGAAGCTCACAAAAGAATCATGAAAAATCAATTTGTAGAAAGGAAAAAAAAAAAGTCACATCTTCTTCAGTGCTCCTCAGTTTAATACTAATCCCCAGAACGTGGCTTAGCCATAGAAATATTTCGAAGCAGTCCTAGTTTACTTTGTTTAGCTTTATTTTTTTTTTCAGTTCTAGTTTAAAAGTATTACAGGTCCTACACAGCATGAAACAAAAATATGAAGTCACAGGCTTTGTTCTCTGAGTGCCCAGTAGGCAGCTCTTGTGGATAAAACAGGAGGAGCCAGCACAGCCATCTCTGCAGCAGCGTGTGGGTTAAAGGCCAGTATGTGGTTTAGCATCTGGGTAACTCCTTTCTAAATAGTCTCCTCCCCAAACCCCATGCTGGGGGTGGAGCCCAGGACTGCCTGTCAGCAAGGTGAGTCCTCTGTGGCTGAGCTGCTGCCCCACCCTCCACTGTAGCCCAGAGATGCTTTGGATTTGATTTGATCCAGGTGACCCCAGGACAGAGCATCTGCGTCCACTCACCCTCGCAGGAGCTTGAAGAGCATGCAGCCCAGGGAGAACCAGTCGGCGCTGCTGTCATAGGCTGTCCCCTTCTGCAGCACCTCAGGAGCCATGTACCCATGGGTGCCCCTGGGGAAGAAAAGGACAGTGTTCCTCACCCAGAGTATGCTCACCCCCAGGACCAGGACAGTCCCTAGGAGAGGGCAGAGAAGGAGGCAGAGGAGTGGGCAGGCCATCTTTCCCCCTTCATTAGCATATGAAGTCACATGCCCAAGTTCAAGGAGGAAGAGAGAAGATGGGAAGATTGGCAGGGAAAGCCAAATCCCTGCTCTTTTTCTCCTCACAAGAGTGGAGACCCTGCCACCCTCGAGAGGGCTGGTGCCCAGCCCTGCAAACGTGCCTGAGGGTGAGGGAAGAAGGAGGGAGGAGGGAGACCACAGGTGCTCACAGAGCTGTGTATAGGGGAGGACCACACATCCCAGCCTGCACTGAGCCCCTTCCATGCCAAGGAGCTGAGCTCAAGGCACTGCTTGGTTGATCAACGGCCCAGAGGAATGGGAAAGAAGTTGGGACACCAGAGCCATAGTGCATGTGAGGCAGAACCAGGGTCGGGCTTTGCAAGGTGGTCAAGCTTGAGGACAGGTTTGCAATCTTAGTACTCAGAGGGCTGAGGCAGGATTACAAGTTTGTTGAGCCTGGTTCCAGCCTGGGCTGCTCAGGGAAACTCTGTCTCAAAGGAGCAAAGCAAAGCAGAAACTGCTGAAGGAACAGTATTCTGCAGAAAGCAGGCACCAGGATGACCTGTGAGAAGTGGAGGAGACACAGGAGCCCCCACATCTCATGTGTACATGATTCATACCATCTGCAACTCTATAGCCCTCTACAGTCTGCGAAACCTGCTAGAGTGAAGATCTGAGGGTGTACTCTTCCCCAGAGGAGCCGGAGGAACACAGGGGCCCCTCAAACATGCAGCTAGGAAGAATCCTGGAAAAGCCCTTCTCTGCGGTCCTGTGACCTCTCCATCTCTCACTGGCTTCTGTCATCAATGGGAGGAACAGCAGGGTGGCCCCTGCATCTGAAGGGGTGCTGTGGGGACCAAAGGTATGCCCAGGGCTCGGTACTGCAAGCCCCAGAAGGTGAACTCAGCCAACGCTTGTGGAGAGGGTTAAATCACATGTTCCTTAGGATAACTGCTTCTGATTCTTTTACTCAGACATGGTAAAGACCTCCTCTGAAATTCTTGGGTCAGTAAAGGTCATGAACAATCACTGGGCCCAGGAACCTAACAGGATGGCTTGAAAGAGCTGTGTTGGGAGCTGGAGAGATGGCTCAGCGGCTAAGAGCACTGACTGCTCTTACAGAGGACTGGGGTTTGATTCCTAGCACCAACATGGCATTAAACCATCCGTAACTCCAGTTCCAGGGGATCCGATGCCTTCTTCTGACCTCTGTGGGCACTGCACAACATGAGTGCACTTACATACATGCAGGCAATATACTCATACACATAAAATAAAAATAATAAAAATAAAATATATGTATTTTATATAGAGAGAGTTGTGCTAACAGGTAACATGGGCACTGGCCCATCCTGGTGCCTGGCTATCTGGATGCGGTCAGCGTAAGATCAACAGAGGCACTCTGGGAGCAGCTGAGCCTCCTGCCAGGGCTTCCAACCCATTTTCTGGGAAGCCTGAATTTTTCAGTCTTGCCTGGAAAACCTTTAGAGGTGACACTTTAGCCAGTGATTCTGTGATGAGATCATAGTCCGAGAGTGGAGAGACAACCTCCAAGAGAAAGGGAAAGGCTAATGGACAGGGTTCTGCAGGCTTTTGTTGGAGGTAGTCAGAGCTGCCAGGGGCCTGTGGCTGAGATTTCCTCATCTGCCCACAGGGCAGCTCCCAACACTGATGCACTGCTGGACGGCTGAGCCACTGTTAACACAGAGCACCTGCATGAGGACATCTGCACGAAGACATGCGAGCACTGTATTCCTCCCAAAATTAAATGGGGATTCAAACCAGTCACTGGCGATTGCTTAGCTCCAAGATTTCCTTTGATTTTCCAGGGCTCCTCCATAGCTAAATTCATACTGACAATTGTCTGTGAGCCCACTGCGTGGCATGGAATCTGAGCTCAAATTGGAAATGTCAGGTACACACCATGTTGAAGATGGACTAGCCTGGGGATGATATCCAGGGTTTACCTCTGCAGTTTTGAATGGAATAGAGAAACCGAGTGCCAGGTAAGATTCTGACCACATATGGCTAACCCAGTGAAGAAAGCAGCATCCAGAACAACTGTGGGATTATCCTTGTCACCCCACTGTGTGTCAGTGACCCCTCTTCATTTTTCTGCACCTCAGTTTGCACACTATAAACAATTGGACTTCAATTTGCACACTATAAACAATGAATACTAATTCCCAGAACTGATAGGATTTCAGTAGCACCATAGTCAGTGGTCTTAGTCAAAATAGCTAGGCAGGTCTATGGTGGCTGATAATCTGGCTAAGGACACAGCCAATGATGCTGGACTCCCTACTGTCCCCCACCCCACACTAGTCACTCTATGTCCAGTGTTCCCTGGGCTGCCAAGCTCCAGCAGGAACAAATGGCTTCTCTCTCACACTGCACCACCAGCACCTGGCACACAGCAGGTGTGAAGCAAACACTGACGTGGTGGACTGTGTCTACAACTACCACAAGAGGGAAACGCCAGATCCTCTGCTCTATGGAAGAGAGAATTGAGACTGGAAAACTTGGGGGAGAAGCTGGGAACCAGGGCTGTGGCTCCACAGCCTTTGCCCCTGGCCACAAAATACCAGCTTAATGCAAACAAAAACAAAAACCAAACAACAACAACAAAACCACTTTGCTGCATATTTACCTTTAGAAAGCACCAGCTTCCACGACAGCATTTAAATGAGGAATCAGATCTCTCAATCCAATCCCTTTGCAAATGCTATTTGAGATACGATGTTCCCTAATTGTCATGTGACAGGATCTGAAATCACCTAGGAGACAGCCTCTAGGCACACAGGCTGGTTTTAGCCTCTGGTCATGCCATGTTGATTAGGTTAACTGTAGTGGGTAGAACCATTCCCTAGGCTTGGATCTTTGACTATGTAAAAGAGAGAAAGCTTGCTGAGCTCCAGCACCCACCACTCTGCTTCCTGATTGTGGATGCCATGTGACCAGCTGTCTCCAGTAACTGAGAGTAACTAAGGCACTGTTCAAATCCTGCACTTCCCAAGGCAGGTGGAGCACCCCAATGTTAGAGCACATATGGATTTCAGGAAGATGTGGGCCAGGCTCAGGGGACAAATGGTCCCAGGCCGGAGTTTGCTCTTTTGGAAGATGAACTCTTAGGAACTCCTGACTTCATATTTAGTTATGATTACAGTACAGTACAGTACAGTACAATTATGATTACAGCAGGCAGCTGCTCACTCTGGCCCCAATAACTGCAGAGTCCTGACAAGATACGGATGTGTTCATCACCACATGAAGTTTCCTTGGAAAGAAAGAAATCTGTTTACAGAGCTGATACTGTTCACCATTAACATCTGATCGCAGCTTTAAAGGCAGTTTTGATGTAACCCAGGCCCTCCATAGTAATATAAATCAGCTCCTTGACAGCTAGTTACACAGAGTGGGGGGTCTGGAGTTTATTTTCTGAATGGACACGTGGAATGAGGCTCCGGTAACTGCTTCTAGACCGTTTTGTGGTAAGAGGAACATTTGCTCAGAGGGACAATAAAATGTAATTTTAAAAGATGTGATTCCAAGAATGAGACATTTTAACATTGTGTGTGTGTGTGTGTGTGTGTGTGTGTGTGTGTGTGTGTATAGATCAGAGGACAACTTGTGGGAGTTGGCTCTCTACTCTGTGGGGTCTGAGGATCAAATTCAAGTCTTCCAGGCTGGGCAGTGGCTCCTTTACCTGCTGAGCCATCTCAATGGTTCTGACTGAGACACTTTCAAAGGCAAAGCTCAGAGTTGAGGATGTAGCTCAGTTGGTAGAGCACTTGCCATAACAATCATGAAGCCCCAGGTTCCATCAGAACAAAATAAGCCTGGCAGGGTGGCGCATGCCCACAGTGTCATGACACCTGGGAAGTAAAGGCAGGAGGTTCAGAAGTTCAAAGTCATCCTTGGCTACCAATCAAATCTGAGGCCAGCCAAGGTTACAGGAGACCCTGTGTCAAATGACAGTAATAATAATAAAATAAAAGACAACCCAAAACTTGTCCGCTTTACCACAAACTGCACTGGTGCCTGGTTTCCACCCAGGTTGAGAGGATGCTAGAGACAGTGCTGAAAGTTAGCAAGCCCTGCAGGTACTTCTAGGAAGCCGGGGTGAGCATATCCCCCATACCCCGTCCACCCCTACCCCCACACAGCCCTGCTGTCATCTTAAGCACCCAGCTTCAGAGATGCCCTCAGGTTAGGTCAGCCTCTGCTGAGCAGCGCCACCACTAAGCACAGTTCTCTGTCCTCTGAGCTAGCTGGACTGGTCCAGGGCTACCTCCGCTCCCCTTGGCAACCAGTGGACTGGTGCAGCTCCTGAGTCTAACTGCACATTCAAAACCAAAACTGTCAGTGGATAGCTTCTTTAAGGGGAGTCAGCCCCAACCCCCTACAGTGCAGTGGAGGGAAATGCAAACACACCTCTCTAGGCTCATGGGCTCTGCCACTTGTCCTTATAACACGGTACAGGGATTTATGACCTCTACTTTACAGAAGAAGAGACTGAGGGTCAAAGAGGTGAACTGGCTTGTTCAGGTCGCAGGCCGCATGAACTCAGCTGTTCTGAGCTGGACTTTCCCACACACCAGGGTCCCCCGGCAGGGTCAGTTTCCTGGGAGTCCATTCTGTCCCATAATCCATGACAGAAAGGACCCCAGTCTCATCTCCAGTCCTACGTATCACCTGGGATACTAGACAGTGCACTGAAAGTCACAGCTGGCGAGGGAAGGAGGAGAAGCCATGGCCAGGCCAGCATGAACACAGGAGTCACAGTGGAGACTCCTGCAAAGGCCCTGGGTGTGCTACTCACACGCTGGCGTGTGGCTTCTTTTTGGAGAAATCGCAGGCAAGGCCGAGATCAGATATCCTCACGTGGCCATATTCATCCAGGAGGATGTTTGCAGGCTGAAGGGAAACAAAAAGTGAAACTTAAGAGTCCCCAGGACACCGCTGGCACTCTGACAAGACGTGAGGGCCAATGACAATCCCTCATCATTTTATTGTGCGTCATTCTTGAGCTTCAACAGGTGCCTGCGTCAGGTAGCTGGATACTGTACACAGCACCACTCTGCTGACAATAGGGATGAAGCCACCAGCTTCATGGCTTCTGTGGACCACAAGGGTCTCAGAGAATGAGGCCACAAAGGCTGGGGCAGGGAAGACTCTTATAGGGAGGGACAACTGCTGACCCGAGGGACCAGGGTATCCCACAGTGCCACACCAGTCCTGGGGAACACGTCATCCACCGGCCCTACGGAACAGCCAAACAGGAGGCCAGCCATGACGCCGATGGCACATAGCCATCCACATTAGATTTGGTTAGAGTAATCATGGAAAACAAAGCTCCTCTCTCCAACACACATCAAATTACAGTCACTTTAATAATATTTTTCTGCAGCAGATCAACTACTGTTTTGCCTAAAATAAAAATAATGGCATGCTCTTACAAAACTGAACCATGAATAATCATGAGTGACTAGAATTAACTTTGAATGGAAATTAAATAATGTCATTGCCTACTAAGTAGCTTAGAAGATAAAACCAGCAGGGAGATGGTTAGAAGCTGGTCTAGGTTTAAATTAAAGTGCACAGCAATAGGGCCTCACGGGCCGTCAGCATGTATTTGATTCTTCAGTAAAACTCACGTAAGGAACTAAAATGAGCCAACCATCATCTAATTATTTCTAACTCAATAAAAATATGATTTTCTTCTTTATGCTCATAAGAAAACCAAGGGAGTAATTCTTTAACCCCACTGAAAGCTTTAAAGCTCATGAATGCATTTTGAAAAAAAAAAAATCATGCTCAAAACAAAAGATAGCCAGGCATGGTGGCACATACCTTTAATCCCAGCACTCGGGAGGCAGAGGCAGGCGGATCTCTGCGAGTTCAAGGCCAGCCTGGTCTACATAGTGAGTTCCAGGACAGCTGGGGCTACAGGGAGACCTTGTCTCAAAAAGATTAAAAAAAAAACAAAAAACAAAAGATAGCATTTCAGTTTCGTAGACAAACAGTAACCTTAGAAAACTAATCAACAGCTGGGCATGGTGGCACAGGCCTGCAATTCTGCTGTTTGGGAGGCTGAGGCAGAAGAATTTCAAATTCCTGGCAAATCTGGGCTATATGCAAGTCAACATGTCACAGGTCCTTAGGAGAAGGAAGGTGATTATGTTAGGGGCGGCTGTGTGTTCATTCATTTCAAAGAGAAGCAGACACAAGAGGCAAAAACCTTCTGTGGTGTCTTCTCATCCATAGTAAACTGTCATTCCCACAGATTCCCTCTAGTTATACCTTCTCCTACAAGTGTCTATAATCTGTCAGGGGCTCTGCAATCTGTCTGTATCACAGCTGGCCGAGTGTCACCTAGCCTTCCTCCTTCATGGAGAACTGGGACCAAGTCCAGGCTGGGGTCAGAAGTCACAGGAAATCTGTGGTTCATTGCTTATCAGCCCCAAGGCAAGAACAGAGACCCACACTGGGCGGCTCAGGACTGTGCCACAGGCTCTAAACCCCTTCTGGTTTCTAAGGCAGCCTCAACTCCGTGAAGAGCTTTGAGATGGGCTTTGGAGAAGTTCAACAGGCTGAGATGCAATCCACCCCGCTCCTTCCAACCAGGCTTGCCCCACAGAAGCCAGGACTCGGCCACTTTGTATCTTGGCTCCTCAGTCCCGTAAAATAGACCTGTTCTTCTCTGCCTTTATCCGTCTCCAGCTCTGACCCATCAACAGGGCCAGATTTGTTCCTTGGTGAGAATCAAATGAGCCATGGTTAAGTATAAAATGAGTGACACCCAAAACATCTAAAAAAGTGCTCCTTGTTAATTGCATAACTTGTGGCCTTAGTGTATGAACTGTAGTCACATCTTAGCCAGGCACTGGGGTTACCATGACGGCAGGGATGGGCTTTGGGTTCTACCCCAGCAGAGTGTGGTCACACAGGGAATGACTCTCAGGGCTGAGACTGGGCTCTGAGGAAAGGGATGGGACCCTACGGGAGAGAAGGAACTTGCAGGGAGCTATGGCACCTGGCCCTCCTCACCTTCAGGTCTCTGTAGACGACAAAGCGGGTGTGCATGTGCTCCAGGCCCAGGATGATCTCAGTGGCATAAAAACGCATCTCCTTCTCAGAGAACACCCCATGTTGAGAGAGGTGGTAGTGCAGGTCGCCCCCTGCAATGGAGACCCAGACAGCAAGTCACCATGTGCTCATGAAGAGTCGGAAGTCACTGCTGCCCCAGATCATCGGGGTGCCAGAGGAAAAGGGAACAGGGCTCTGTGTCTGCCTCCACACTCATCTTTGATTTCTGTAGCAGGGCCAGAGATGTTGAACATGATAGAAAAGCTTCAGTATGACAATGAATGAGGCCACGTTGCAGAAGAAGACTACCATTTGGGGCTTGGTGGCTTTATTGACAGTTACACCATCAAAGGTGGATCGGCTGACCCTCTGATCATTTAAATACTTCCCAGCAACTGAACTGACCTATGTAGAGATCTAAAGTCAGCTGAGTAGCTGCTTTGAAAAGCCACCACTAGTTTAAAACAAACAAACAAACAAACCCTAAAACCTGGGTTTAGAATTTTAGACTACAGCCTGGTCCCATGGAAAGATTTGATGAAGCAAATACAGTGAAAATCACAGCTGGCAAAGTCCAGGCAGTGGGCAAGCGACTGTCCCCACTGTGACTCTTTCAACTGGTGTCACAGTCAGAACTGTTCATGACATAATGTTGGGGAAAGGAAGTAAGAGTGTGAACTCAAAGCACAGGAACAGGGCACTACCTCCAGGGCAGGGGCTGCTTTCATAAGCAATGCGGGGAGCTCTCTGTGATAACGGCTGGCAGGTGTCCACAGCCTGCCCTCTGTCAGCCTGGCCCTGGAAAGGCGACTGGAAAGGTGACTCTCTGCCCTCACCCTTCCATCAGCTCCGCCCCTTCTGGCCACCATACACTCAGGATCCGCAGGGTTGTGCTGTGGGCTCTGGTGTCTTTGGTTCATTATTGTTCTTTTATTCTTTCCTATTTTTGGGTAGATTTGGGCTTAAACTGGACACTCAAAACATAATAAATCTTTAACTTTAAAAAAAACCCCATCTGAATGGCTGAATTGTACATCTTTTCATTTCAGCCTTTCTTCCTAAAAATACTTCAAATGTATACCACGTCCCTTTCTCATATGAGAAAGTACTTTTCTAGCTGAATGTTTTGTATCCTCAGGGTCACCACTCATGGTTTCAAAGATGAATGCAGCCCTGTGGATTCAGAAGGCACAGAAGTCAGGGCGGAATCCATACAAGTCGGTCTTTCAAAGCTGGCATATTCTCTTGGTCTCTCTTTGGCATATTCTTGGGACGTACCTCATTCCTAAGAGTTAAGACCCAGGAAATAAGCTAATTAAAGACAGAGGCCAGCTGAGGTCCAGAGGCTGGAACTTACTCCCAGTATTTATTTGTTGAGAATTTTCTAGAAGATCCAGCCTCCCAGAGAGAGAGAACAGCAGTTTCTGAGAGAAATCACAACCAGCATTGCAAGATGGAACTTACTGAAAACTGAAGGGCAGAGACACCTCAAACTTCAAGGGAAACGGAATCTAATTACAGGAAAGACACACTGTGCTGCCGCAGCGGCACCGCTCTGCATGAGCATCACCCAGAGCCCTCCACTGTGCCTGGCCCATCACCAGGGTCTTGCTTACCATTCATCAGGTCCAGGATAAAGCACAGTTTATCTGGAGTGTGGAAGGCATAGGTCATACAGACGATGAAGGGACAGTCCTAAAGTAGAAGCACACAAGTCTGAGAGGAACAGAAGCTGTTTTGGAACGCTCCCCCACCACCACACCCCAGTGTGGATCCCGGCTAAGCCCCGACCCAGGGTGCCAACCACGCTGTGGTCACTTCAGCAGATCTAGCAGATAACAAAAAGCCAGAGATACAGGACTACCATCAAAGCCAGTTGGACTTGAGGCACTCCCACCCTGATTCATCCTGACTCTGTTCTTATCACAACACCTTCAAAACATCAAATCCTAGAGAGAAGCTGCAGCTGGTCTCTGTTGGCTGAGGTTTGGGTTCTGGCTGTCAAATAGCATTTGAACCTCTGCTTCTGAACGCAGAAGAACTACATCACAGGGGGGAATGGTATCCGTATTATTAAAATTAAATTAACTTTTGAAGGTGGAAAAATATACCATAGTGAGGGATGGAATAATTCAACTGTAAAATGACTTCAGTTTCCCTTAATTCATCTGTGGCTTCCACACCCAATAAGGAGATGAACACAGACAAGGTAATTCTGAAATCTGTAGAGATGTAACAGTCCCAAAACATAGACAGGTCAAGAAAAATAGCGCTGGAAAAGTCAGTGGCAGAGATACTAAGGCTTCTTACAGAGCTGGGGAGATGGCGCAGAGGGTAAGGAGCCTTCTGCACAAGCATGAGGTCCCGAGTCCAGATCTCCACCATACACAGGAAAACAGTGCTGAGTGTGGTGATGCTTGCCTATAGTCTCAGCACTGGGGTGGGGTAGAGATGGGGGACACTGTGCTCCTTGGCCAGCCAGTCTAGCCAAATCAGTGAGCTCCAGGTTCAGTGGGAGACCTTGTCTCAAAAAACCATGCAGAGTGATAAAGGAAGGCTCAGCTCTAATTCTGGCCTTCACAGGCAAACACACAGATAGTGTACCTCCCCTATACAGGGGCACATACACACATGAATGCACACACATGCATGCACCACACATGCATATACACATATATTGGCATGCACCACACATCCATATTCGCAGGTACACACACATACATACACACGTGCATACACACAGGTATATATACATGCATGCACCACACATAATACACATATACACAAAGATACACACGTATTCAATGCATTCACATACACAGATACGTACTTTAGCATGCACCACACAAGCATACACACACAGGTACACACACATGCATACATATGTACACATGAATGCACACACGGGCATGCACTATATATGCATACACATACACACATGGGTCCACACATGCATACATACAGGTACGTACACACAGAACTTATAAAGCAGTCATAATTAGACAGCTAGCTTTAGCTCAAGAACAAAAAATTGCAAGAGAAGACAGAACTCTGAACACACAAAGGTCACTTAAGTGTGGTAAGGTGACATAGCAGGACAGCAGGCAGGGGTGGCTTTTTCAACTGGTGGTGCAGGAACAGTTAAGCGTCCGTGAATAAAGCACGAACTTGACCCCGTGCCTCACACTGTACACTAAAATCACCATCTAGATGCCAATCTAAAGGTAGATGAGAACATGATAAAACTAAGAGAATAGCTCCATGGTCTAAGGGTGAGTTAGGAATTCCTCCTGGACAGAACATAAAAGGCTAAGCTGGGCAGCAATAAACTAGAAGCTGTTTAAGAGACACTGAGGGGAGCATCAACAGCAGGCCATGGGATCTGAGGGGGCATATTTACCCCATAAACACAAAAGGGACTCACATCTAGAATATATAAACAAAGAATTCTCATAAGTCTATAACCAAGAGCCAGGGGTGCTGGTGCACGCCTTTAATGCCAGCACTTGGGAGGCAGAGACAGGTGGATTTCTGTGAGTTCAAGGCCAGCCTGGATTACATTAGTGAGTTCAGACAAGCTGGGGCTACAGGGAGACCCTGTCTCAAAAAGACAGAAGGGAGGGAGGGAGGGAGGGAGGGAGGGAATGCAACAAAAATATCAACTCATTCACTCAGCCCTACACACTGGATACTCATAGCCCTCAACCTCTGGGCAGACATTCAACCTCAGGTGTCTCCAAAGAAATGCAAATCAAATCAAAAGCATAGCCTGCTGTCACTAACCTGCAAGAGAGGCTGAAGTTAAAGGGAGGCTAAAGCCAAGTGGTGGAAACGTAGCAGTGACCCGACCTGCCCCATGTAGCTGCTGGACGTGTGCAATGGTGTAGAGGTTTGACCAGCTGATTAGGGGCATATTTACCCAGAGACCTGGCAGCTCCACACCAAGGTAGAGACCTGGCAGCCACTGACCACAGGAGCAGGAGCCCTGCCCAAGACCACCCACCAGCTCTGCTCAACAGGATGGCTCAGCCCTGGAAAGGCATTGGAGAGGAGGAAACCGGTGGTTCATGCCTGCAGCAGAGGACTCCAGAGTAGGGGGAAGCTGTCATTTTCTGCAAAGAGCTCAACAGCATTTCCAGCTCTGCGTGCATAGTGTCTGCCATCTACTCTTTGCTTCTTTCCTTACAGTCCGCAAAAAAAATGTCTGAACCACTCTTAGATCATAGGCTATCCAAAGTAAGGCCACATGCTAGATTGTCCCAGCACCACATGAGGCTTGCTGACAGCACTATCCAGGGATAAAATGAGCCATCTCCACATACAAAAAACACAAATGCAGCTCACACTCTGCACCCACTGAGAAGCAGGCACAGGGCACAGTTGAGCTGAGCCACAGTGTGAGGACCCTGGGGAGAAGGAAGCCTGGGCAGGGGGCAAGTGACCCAGGCCTCGGTGACTTCAGGAGAACCTTCTGTCTCCTGGAACACCTGCATTTTCTAGTGAACAATCATTAGGCTCTGCTGGACCCATCACGTGATCAGTAGATTCTTCAGGTACAGTGTGTACTTGCCACTAAAGACCCTTAGAGTCAACCTGGCCCCATCTATGGATTTCAACATCCTCAACACAGTGAATGAGTAAATTTCAAAGACAATACTCAAGTTTTCATGAATGATCTATAAACAGAATTTGCATGTTTAAAACCCATGTTACAATATGTAAGATTTCACTGGAGACTTTAGCAGACTGCCTGAGAGTGCCTGGATAGGGCCTCTGTGTGGTAGTGGTGAGCTTTCCAAATCATGCCATTGCCCATCCCCCCACTTAGGAACACGTGTGGCTCCTCCCACTGCCCCAGGGCTAGGCTTCTCTGCCCTTCAGCAGGGGCCCAGACCTTAGCAGAATGCCAGAAAGCGCCTAAATCAGGCCTCCCCTTAGCCAGCTTCTCAAATTTTGCTGTGACTGCTCCTTAGTAGGGGCTCAGACCTTAGGTGGAAGCATGAAAGCACCTGACTGGCACCTGACTTGGCCTTCTGCAGGAGCTCCTGAGTAGCTGGACTGAAGCCATCTGGTCCCTCCAATATAAAATTAAAAGAGAACCTGAAGCCTAGACCAACCAGTTTTACATACCCAATAAGAAAACAACCAAGGCACACCAACAATACAAACAGAAGCATACTTCAACTCAACAAAAGAATGCTTGAGTTTCATACCAGAATCACAAACAACAAAAGAAATTCACATGCCAAAATCACAATGGAAAAATAATAATATAGAAAACCGCTCTTGTTTCCTGTGCCTGCATGATGATGTGAGAGCTTAGCTTCTGCTGCTTCTGCTTCAGCCACCATGCCTCCCCACCATGACAGACTGTAATTCCCCTGGAACCATAAGCTCAAATAAACCCTTTCTTTTCTAAGTTACTTTGATCAGTGTTTCTATCACAGCAATAGAAAAGAGACCAATACAGTAACTGGTACCAGAGAGCGGGCTGTTGGCTGTGAAGAACCTGACCATGTGGGGTTTTGAAGAAATGTGGAAGACTTGGAAAGCTGGGCTAGAAGAGCAGTTGATTTCTGTAAGCGGAGCTTAACAGGCCATTCTAGCAGGGGCCTGGAAGAAAGTAGTGCTGAGAACAATGTAGGTCCAGAGGGAAATAAGGAGTTAAGCAGCAATTGGGATATTTTGGCAAAGAGTCTGGCTGGAGTCTGCCCACAGCCAAAATGTTTGCCTGAGGCTAAGCTGAAAAGCCATGGACTAATTTCTCTGGCAGAAGAAATTTCAAGACAGCCTAACGTAGAAATGGTGGTGTGGCTATTAATGGTAAATAGCCAGGCAGCATGCAGCAGGGGTTCCTCTGAATAGAGAAGGCCCTGACAGGACATGGTGTGAAGGTGAAGCCTGGTTGGCAATGGAGACCCCAAGAAGGTGTTCATGATGCCAGAGCTGTGAGGCATCTTCCAAGAAGACCTGCATACAGGGAGTGGTACCAGCATGAGAGAGATGTTTGTTGCATGTGGTAAAGCTGGAGAGGCTGAGCCATCTAAGCCCTTTAGAAGTAAAGTCCCAGAAGTTGGATGTGGAGCTACTGGATTTGGTGTTTGCCCTACTGGTTTTCGGTCTTGTTTTGGTCCAGTATTTTCTTACTATGCCTCCATTCCTCCATTTTGGAATGGTAATGTGTATTCGGTTCCACTGTATGCTGGGAGTATGTAATTTGTCTTTTGATTTTATAGAGGCTTACAGTTAAGATAGTTCCCTGAGTCTCAAAAGAGACTTTGGACTGTGGACTTTTGAATAGTATTGAGACTGATAATGACTATGGGGACTTTTAAAGTTGAACTAAATGCATTTTGCAATTTATATGGTCATGAGCCTATGGGAGTCAGGGGGTGGAATGTGGTGGTTTGAATGAAAATGTCCCCAAGTATTTGGACATTTTGTCCCCAGATGGTGGTGCTATTTTGGGAGGTCTTAGAAGGTGTGACTATCCTGGAGGAAGCACATCACTGGGGGTGGGCTTAGAGAGTCCTTAAGCCTTGCCAGATCTCCAGTCACTTTCTTGCATCCTGTGCTTGCATGATGATATAAGAGCTTAGCTCCTGCTCCAGTCACCTCCAGCCACCATGCCACCATGCCTCCCCACCATGATGGACTGTAATTCCCCTGGAACCATAAGCTCAAATAAAACCTTT